CCTTAACGTTATTATATAAACTGTCAAAATGTTATGAGAAAGTATTTACGCTGAAATAAACTTGAAAAATACTGGATTCTGCACTTTTTATTTGTTAACAGACTTCTAGGGGTCCCTCAATATGTCAGCAAACACTATGAATCTTCATCCATTTCCTTTTTACATCTCATTATATCTTAGTACTCTAACCGCTGAGTGCATCAGCTTGCACATGGTGACTTTATTTATCTAAAGTCAGTTTTCAGGGAAAAGAAGGTTTGCTGTTAACATTAAAATGCTGTGCGCCTTGCCTCTTGTGAGTCCTAAGAGAAAAAGATTTCTAATTGAAAATGATTTAATCCTGCTTTGACATTGTGTATGTGCATTTTCATACAACACTGGTGGCCAAGTATCTTAATAAACTGGTTTTGGAGAACTGTGTTTTTAAAATGTTCTTTCTGAGGTAATCCGCACAGTCTAAAATGACATCCTGCACAGGGAGCTCATGCCTCTAATCCTAACACTCAGGAAGCTAAAACAGGATTGCTATGAGTTGGAGGCCAGCATGAGCTAGAGGAAGACTATTCCAAAAACAAGAAATATAAACATCACTTTGAAAGTGAGATATAAAATGTTTTGTTCCAGTGATTAGCATGCCAATATTATCTAAACAGTTAAGTTTATCATAGAAGGCATTTTATCTCAAATGAGGAAAATGAAGGCAAAAATTCATGGCACTTGGAAAATCTTTTAAATATTATCATCTATAAATATTTAAAGGTCTTTTTAAAAGGTAATCTTTATGACTTATTTATAATAAAGCAAGAATTGTGAAATAGAAACATCTCATGCTATTTAAGGCAATACTTGGAATATTTTGAAAGGAACAATGTAGCCTGGGCCCAGTACTTGGGAGGCAGAGGCAGGGAGATCAGGTAGTCAAGGTCATCCTTGACTGCATACTGAGTTCAAGTCCAGTCTTCACTACATGAGACTGTCTCAACGGGGGTGAGAATTAGGGGGTAGGGAAGAAACACTTTGATTTTCTTTTAGCTTTTAAAAACACATTTTACTGGTGGCGCACGCCTTTAATCCCAGCACTTGGGAGGCAGAGCCAGGCAGATCTCTGTGAGTTCGAGGCCAGCCTGGGCTACCAAGTGAGTTCCAGGAAATGGGCAAAGCTACACAGAGAAACCCTGTCTTGAAAAACCAAAAAAAAAAAAAAAAACCCACACATTTTACTGCTGGTTCTGGTGCTGTTTGTGTGCTCCTTCAGTGTGGACCTGAGGCCTCTTCTGTGGAATAGTAGCTGAGAGATACTGGCACTCATTATGGCGGATGAGAAACCCAATGAAGGAGTCAAGACAGAACAATGGCCATACTAAGATGAAAGTGGCAGAAAGATGGTTCTGTGGTACACTTTAAGAAGCAAACACCTCTTAGTGAACCAATGAAAGCCTACTGTGAATGGCAGAAGAGATTCTAGTTTGATGGGTAACCAATCAGTGTAATGGACACACCTGCACAGTTGGGAATGGAGGAAGAAGATATACTTGGTGTGTTCCAGCAGCAGACAGGAGGTGTCTACTAAACAGGGAGCCTGCTACTTTACTCTAGCATTTTGTTACAGACTAAGAATACATTCTCAATTAGAAAGCAGAAATTTGGTTCCAACATATCCTGACTACTACAGTATAGATTTCTCTGTTCTTTCATTTCCCCATCCCTATTTCTCTATTGTACATAAATAAGTGGTGTGAGTCCTAGAGTTTTCCCTACAAATCAAGTACTTCTTGTTTTAAAAATATTCTTGTTTTTTTTTAATTAGCACCTACGAGAATTATTTGTCAAAATATTAAAGTTTCTGACAAGAAATTTTCTAAAGTCCCAAAGATTCCAAAAAACAAAAAGAAACTTTCTGACAGTTTTTAAAACAGGAGACTATCTGATCCAACCAAAAATTTAAGAATCAGTGGCCAAAATTAATTTTAATCTTTCTAAATAAGTGAAGATTATTTGTATTACATGTTTTAAGTAAATGTGCTTTTAAAAGCCTGAAACAAAAGAATTTATCTGTTTACAATAAACTAGAAGGTTCTCTTTAACTGTATCTAGTTCAGTCATCAGACAGAAACTTTGCTAATTTGAAGAAATAAATTATAGTGAGACATATGCAGACAAAAATCTGTGTTGTTTGCATAGAAAGATATAGTATTTGGATGGAGCAATGAAAAGGCAAGATATATTTTTATAGCCAATATTTACAGCCAAGGGCAAAATATTTATTCATTCAGTTATTTAGAACTAAGGGCCATATTTAAGAGAAATAAATACCACTTTCTCTCATCCATTAAAGTGGATATTATTCCACATATATACCATTCAACTGTCCTAAAGTTTTGCACTGGTAGCCTTAAATTTTACTGATTTATTCATCAAATATTTATGGAGCAGCTGGGCATGGTGGCTCACATCTTAAATCCCGGCATTCCCCAAGGCAAAGATAGTTGATCTCTGAGTTCAAGGCCAGCCTGGTCTATAGAGTGATTTCTAGAACAGCCAGGGCTACATAGAAAAACTCTGTCTTTAAAAACCAACCAAACAAACAAACAAACAAAAAATCTTATGGGTCATCCAAGGTTTGGATTAAGGCCAAATTTCCTATTTTACTTTTGTCATTTAACTGCAAAATCAAATACCAATTTAATTATAAACTATCTCTAATTTATTATATTATGGTTTCAAAATAATACTTGAATATTTTCCAAATATATTTTACTATGAGGCTGAGCATGGTGGCTTGTGCCTGTTTTCCCAGAACTTAGGAGGCTGAGGTGAGAGGATCACTGTTGCAGGCCAGAGGATCACTGTTGCAGGCCAGCTTAAACTAGGCAGTTTCAGATTAGTTTGAGCTACAAAGTAAAACACTGACTCAAAACAAGAACAACATATCAGAATACTGTCAGAAGTAACAACATATCACAGAATACTGTCCAGAAGTAACAACATATCACAGAATACTATGAAGAAGTAACAACATATCAGAATACTATTCAGAAGTAACAACATATCAGAATACTATGCAGAAGTAACAACATATCAGAATACTATGCAGAAGTAACAACATATCAGAATACTATTCAGAAGTAACAACATATCAGAATACTATTCAGAAGTAACAACATATCAGAATACTGTCAGAAGTAACAACATATCAGAATACTATTCAGAAGTAACAACATATCAGAATACTATTCAGAAGTAACAACATATCAGAATACTATCCAGAAGTAACAACATATCAGAATACTATCCAGAAGTAACAACATATCAGAATACTATCCAGAAGTAGCAACATATCAGAATACTATTCAGAAGTAGCAACATATCAGAATACTATCAGAAGTAACAACATATTGGAATACTATCAGAAGTAACAACATATCAGAATACTGTCCAGAAGTAACAACATATCAGAATACTGTCCAGAAGTAATTCTTACAGATGCCATCTAGAAAATGCATTTATCCAATAACTGAATGTTTTATTGTTTCATTTTGAGAAATGTAAATATATTTTGTCATTTATAAATCTTTATAGAGTATCAAACATAAGACTTATTTAGACATATTTCTGCATTTACATATAAGTAATTCTCAATTATTGGAACCCTGATAATTTAGAAGAGAAGTTGATCTTAATGGAATACAGATGGCAGAGGCACTGAAAATATCATTAGCGCAGATGTACCTTCCTTCACAGATCTTTCAGTCCACTGAACTAAAGATACACTTTAAAGCGAAAAAGAAAAGAAAAAACTTACACATATACACACAAAACCAAAAACACCAGTACCTCTTCAGAACAGCAGTGTCAGAAACACCTGTGAGCAAACTGCCAGGATGGTACCTCATGATGCCCAGGTAAGCTCATTGAACAATCACATTTTGCACAATATCTATACTTGTTTGCTTCTGTCCAAAAGACAAGCTATGTATAATTTTATATATAAGCAACATAACTTAAAGGCAATACTAAGTGAGATGACGAAGTTAAAAGCGGTTTCTGCATGTGGAGGTGGAGAATGAGTGGTTACTGGCATAGAGTAGGGAAATTTTAGGGCAATGGAAATGTTTCGTATTTGATTTGGGTGACGGTGTATGGTTAATTCTCAAAACTCACTGAAATAAACCCATGCATTTTATTAAATAGTAACTGTCTTAATAAAAGAGCATGCCATCCTGGTACTGATAAAGATCTAATCCAATGGGAAAGCTGAGGTTTTTTAAGTCCCTCGGAATTAGGGCTATATGGAATTGCTTAAAATGATTTGAGAACATCCTTTGAATTCTACATAGTGTTATATCTAATATAAAACCCCAGAGTAACTATTAGATTATATGTTTTCTCCAGTGATTATATACCCTCAATTAGTTCCATAAATACAGAAGACAGGGAGGAAATAATACTTAAGATTTACCATATTGTTAACTAAAACAACAAAACATTAAAAGTCTGTTATCTGGCTGGGCAGTGGTGGCACATGCCTTTAATCCCAGCACTCAACAGTCAGAGGCAGACGGATCTCTGTGAGTTCGAGGCCAGCCTGGTCTACTTCCAGGGGACAGCTAGGGCTGTTACACAGAGAAATCCTGTCTTGAAAAGCCAAAAAAAAAAAAAAAAAAGTCTGTTATCTGTTGTGAGACATCTATGATACAAATATTCATTACTATATCTTTTAATCACCTGAAAGAAAAAAAAATCAAACATAACAACTTGGCCTTTTATAATTAAAAAATATAAGACATTGGCACAGCACTAAACTTAGCACTTCCAGAATGAACTGCAAGAATAGCATTAGAGTTCAAATAACTCAAAATGTTGATTTCTCAATTATTTTCCAATTTCCCACACCTCCCCCCAAAGAAATTAACTTTGAAGAGTTTATTTGATAAGCAAATTTGAAAGCAGAGGATTAAAAAGTGGAAGGGTGGTGCAGAAATTAGCAGAGGTGGCACTACCTGAAAGCTCATCAGAAAGGGGAGTGAGAACAATATCAGGCAAGAAGGGTTTGGAAGTATGGATCAGAACAGGAGCACTTTTAGCACTGCGAATATAGGCCGATGGCAGAGCACATTCACCAATGGATCGGCTTCTCATGGCTTTAAAAAGGAAGAGAAAGAAGTGGGGAAGGAAAAAAGAAGAGTGACTATAATGAAAGGCTGTGTCACAGAAAAAGCAGCAACAGAGAAAACTAAAAGACTCAAAGGAAGGAAACTTTAAATTAAAACATTTCAGCACAGCAAATACTGGCAAGCTGTAAGAAAAGAAACCACAACACACATTTTGAATGTAATTCTTTTGGTGTAAAGCAGGAAAATGCCTTTTATTAGCAATCACAATGGAACAGCATTAAAAACACAGCAGACACTTCAGCACATTTTCAAAAAAACCAAGAAATGAGAAATTTATCAAATGAAATCATTGAAAAATAATACCATTAGTCCAAAACAATTCTGGTACCCTATTTGGTCATTTCTCTGAGCAATTCTTCTTAAGGAAGCTGAATTCTACTAACAAATCATTCCTATTTTCATATTCTTACCCAAATAAAGTCCTCTAATTACTAACAGGTCCTTTTATGAAATTTGATTTGTCATGACTTACTCTTGTGTTTAGTAGTTGTTCCAGGTGAGAGAATATTCAAACCAGTGTCTCTCTTTACACTAAAGTATAGTAGTATAACTTTATAAGTTATATAAATAATCTAACTATTAGCAGAAAATAGAATTTGCATCAACATGAAGGAAGACTCACACTCCTGAGCAGGTGTGAGTGCACACCTGCTCTCCCAGCACTGCAGTGGTAAGAGGGGGAGGATCAGAAGTTCACGGTCATTTCTAACCACACAGTGAGTTCTAGGCCAGCCTGGTCTACAGCACACCCTCTCTAAAAGCAAAGCAAATATACAGCAACAACAAACACAGCATCAGGCTCTTAAGAAAAAATATACAATCTGTGTCATCCAAATAATAAACATAAAAACTTCAAAGTATTTTTTTAAATATAAAAACTGTAGGTTACTTTCCAAAACTTGTATTTTTGGTTGCATATTTTGGCTGAATAGTTTCATAAAAGAGTCACTAGATCACAAAGGTAGAAATTTTTTGTTCACACAGCAATAACTAATAACTTAAACTTCCAGTAATTTTAGCTTCAGTGTAAGGACTATTGATTAAATGAACTTGTAGGTACTGCTATGTAAGAACATAGTACTTAACTATACTGCATAGAATTCAACGCAAATGATAAAGGCAAAAAGAAACAACAAACAAAACAAAAACTCTTGGCTTCAGGGCTTTTACACTTCCCCTTTGCCCAGAATGTATCTCCTATAGATCCTTCCTAAGCACATGCTCTCACTCACTCAAATCTGTGTTCTCAGACTGTACCACACAGAACGCTGTCTTCATCTAAAAGTCTCACTCTCCCTCCTGCTAGTCTCTAGTCCTTTATCTTGCCTTACTTTTCTTTGTAATTTCCTACATGTTGTTTACTGGATCTGTAAGCTCAACATTAAAATTTTAGGTGCCAGTGACTGTTTTTAGTATTTGATTTGCTTTATCACTTCCTAGTTTTTAACCAAGATCAAGTGTTTGTTCTTAACTACATCCTTAATGTTTAGAACAGTGCTTTGATACTGAATATTTAACTTTTTTTATTCAAATGTGTAAAATCCATGGTTAACCATAGTACATAGGCAATGTGTTTTAGGCCTCTATGTGAATAAAGGGTCTTGAGAAGCATGTACAAGAAACTGGTAGGAAGGTTTGCCTCTAGTGAAGTCAACTGAGAAGTCAGGGAAGAGTATGCTGGGAGGGCTTAATGAAATGTATGTACATTTTTCAGACTGAATTAAGCACATTCATTCACCATGGTTATAAAAAATTAATTTTAAAAATTAGGAAATTAATCAGTTATGGTAGCTCATATCTGTAAACCAGATACTCCAGAAGCTGTGACAAAATTACTTCAAGTTTGAGGTCAGTGAGTTTCAGGCCAGCCCAGGATGCAGTGTGAGACCCTGTTTCAGAGAGCAAATAAGTAAGATCTAACAGTATTTAACTCTAACTTTCCAACTTTATGCATGTACCTTTCTTAGTAAAACTTTTAAGGATTTACTTTTTGTTTAGTGCACTTGAAATCTGAAACAGTATCATGCAATTCTATTTCAGGTGGAAGAAGTATTATCACTACCACTAAACAAACCAAGTGCTTAAAGCCTAGAAAAGGGAGCCAGGGGGATGCTGCTCAGTGGGTAAAAGTAACAGTCACCAAGCCTGGCAATCTGAATTAAATCCTGGGACCTACTTGGTGGAAACAGATTACCAACTCAAAGAAGTTGTCCTCTGACCTCTATATGCACAATGTGGAACACACACACACACACACACACACACACACACACACACACACACACACACTCATTTTTAAAATGTAAAGCCTAGAAAGGTTTGGTAAATTGTCCAAGGTTACCTAGATATTTAGTAAAGAAAAAGAGTAAGGAAGAGCCCAGGGCCTACGCCCTCCTTGTATTTTCTCTCTACTATAATTCAGCCGAGTCACGTGGCTCTGGGAGGAGGAGGAGGGGAAGACAGGTGCTAGCAAGCCTACTAGTGCTTCCCACAGTGCTCCTATAGCACTTTTCACAACATTATAAAAACTACTTTATTTGTCTAAAAAGAAAAAGCACAGATTTCTTCTTGACCTCAGTTGCCCACCAGCCGAAGGAGTGAATTAATTCCCTGTTGGAAGTTCCTAAAGCCAGTAAGACTATGTAATTTTAAAACTGAAAGTTTGCTACCATCTCCATATTTGTGAATATATTTACTTAATAAAAGTATACCAGCTCATGTTTGAGTTCTGCATGTTGATCCAAGTTCTACTTTTTGAATTCTATAAAATGACAATTTGGAAATACAGATACCCACAATAAAGTGAACTCCATAAACACAAGAGTATATATATTAAAGGAATAAAGGCTTATAAGCATGCTATTGTATCATATGAATTACTGGGGAGAGGGCTACAGAAGTTTTTATCTCCCAGAAGAAAACACCTACACAGACAGCACTGTGTGCTCGGCACTGCTCGCCTACGCCCATGACCTCAGCGTACATACCAACAGTTTTCTGCCGTACTATGCTTCTCGCCTTTTCAGTCCCTGGGGAGCCAGTGGTGGTTGCACTTCTTTGTCTCATGGGTGCCTGGCCAGGCTGATCTCGACTCCATCCTCTAGAAAATGACTTGTCAACTGAAACTTTCTGAAATTCATGTCCAACTCCTAGAAATGCAGTATTATGGTTGCCTGGTTGTTATCTTTAAATTATCAGAAATACGTTGTTGCAGATTCTAAGGCTTCCTCACAATACATTATAAAGTAACTATAAAGACTTCTTTGAACTTCATTTTATATAAAAACTATAGTTTAAACTTAGGAAGACTACAAAAATTATATTAATTATTTCATCACCAATAAACTATTATAATTCTCTACCATCTAGAAATAAGAAATGAGCTAAAGGAAAGTCATCTTGAGTGACAGTTTTTTAATTTCTAAATACCAATAACAGCCACTTGAGAAATAAATAGTGCAGAAAAAGTAGTTTGGGAATATACTTAACTATCCAAGAATAGCTAAATATAAATTATGACAAATCTAATTTCTAGCTGGCAACTCATTCTTTACAAATCGGGATACTATACCAACGGCATGGTAGTGACCTACTAAGTACACTACTGCCCCACTTCACTTTACCATTACACAAACACTATTTCACACCTACAGAATGCTTACTTGTAGTTTCAAATAATACAATTCTTTTAAGAGAATTATCCAAGTAATTATTATATACCCTAAAAATAGAATAAAATGCAGTCATCTTTTCAATTCAATAAAAACTGCTTATACTAAAAAGTAAATACATTTTATAAATTTTGACTTGGGTTAATCATTTAAAATAAAAGTTAAGGTTCTGTATTATTTAACTTTAGTTAAATATAAGATTGACCATAACATATCTACATACATACAAATATATATATACACACACACATATATATGATATTCTTTATCTTACCAAAATTATTACTGATTTTAAGACTAAGAAAAGAACAATGCATTTTTGTATTTTACTGTTGGAATTTTAAAGCTCCAGGATCAATGAAGGAGATTAGAGAAGATACAATTTCCTGTGGAGAATCTTTGAGAGCTCTTACCTTTCCCTTTGTGCTTCTTCTGTTTCTGCTCACTCAGCTTATCCAACGGCAAATCACTGAGATCCAGACTATATAAGTTCCTCGCTAAGACTTTAGTTAGTGTCTCCATGGTCAGAGACCACTCGGTGGCCAATTCTTCCCAATAGGTCAACGATGACAATACTGAAAGTAAGTCATCCCAAAGTTCTCGAGAAATGTACACATTTAGATTTGCTTTGATCCAGGCAACAATGAGCGTCTACAAAGGCAAATATTCAAAAACAACAAATGAGGTTTGTTTGGTGTGTGACTTCAAAATCAACTATTCAATTCTTTTTATCTAAAAAAACAGAAAAATTTTATCACAGAAAATGTTGTACAAGTAACTAATACAATTATTACTACCTGATAAGCTAAGTAACTACTGATTCCCAGTAACGCTAAGGCATAACTTTTATGATGCACTGCACTACTACTAAGTAAAACCCATGTAAGAGGTGGTTCTGTCTTATTTAGTGTTGAAATTGAGTTCTTAAGTGAAAACTTGAAACTACATTCCCAAATTAAACATGGAAATTACTATAATGTGGAAGTTTGCTTTACTAATACTACAAAAAAAGAGGGGGGTCCTAGAGATGTACTTAATGAAATGTCCTTGAAAAATTATATGCAAATTAAAGGTTAAATTAAATTTTATTTTAAAGATACAACAGCAATTAAGAGCATTCTGCAATAAACTCAATTATAGTATTAAAAGCTTACACTTAAGAGGGCTGAAAATACTAATTATCTGGTATCTTCAAAGGTTTTATGGATTGCTACTAAATATTTACCCTGCTATTAAGTCACAGAATAAAAAGTTTTCAAAACTTGAACTTCATGAATTTTGCTAAGGAATTATTATAAACTCACACACGAAATGTGAAGATAACATTGAAGTGACCAGTGACCTTTCATTCTGTCTTTAAATATTCAAACTAAGCTAAATTTTTAATCTTTCTGTAGCTCCCATCACGGGGTTAGTTAAAAAAGAGGAATTTTCTAAAAGTTTAGATAACACATGTTGCTATTTTAAAAGTTAATTTACCATCAGCAGAGATTTTGAGGTAAGTGATTAAGAACTAAAAATGCCAATATAAATGGTTACACTTATGGCCAAGGCTTAGATAGGAAATAGTCTTGACCTCTGATAGTAAGAATCATTTTAACCATGTAATTTCATTTAATATGTCACTATAAAATATTTCCTGTTTTCAGAGTTTATAGTAGTCAACCTTCATGTTGAAAAAAATATGCAATTCCTGTATAATCAAAAATACCACTGATTCAATCAACTCTATAAAGGAGAACACTAAGAGTCTATGGGGCAGCACAAGAATGACTCCTGGTTATGTACTACATTTTTATCACTACAGAACAAATTGAAAATGTTTTTCCTAATAATCCCAGAGCTTCAGAAACTCATAAAGCACTCAGGCATTACTCCTGCAGCCTTTTGTTAGCTTTCTGAAACCATAAGCTTGCCCTACTAGAGGTAAAATAAGCACCATTACTCTTCATTACAACATTTTTCTTCCATTATGCTGTGAATTTGTGTGTATGGCTATTTAGATGAGTGGCTTTTTATTTAGCTCTATAAAAGATGCTTTAACATAAACAGGTTTCTGATTTAAGGCATTTTCCCTACTAACAAGCTCAGCCTCAATGAATCTTTTAAAAACAAACACACTTCTATCCATCTATCTATTTTTATTGCCTGGAAAAGTGGTCCTGCAAGTCGACCTGCCAGGGTCATGTTTTTTTTCCCCTGGAACTGTAGAAAAGCTTGTGATGACATCTTCAGTACAGACTCCGTGACTCTGAGCAAGACGAGCAGCATCTGTTCCCTTAAAGTAAGAAGATCTGTTAATGTTTCCTTTTGCTTTGAATTAGTGATCAATTTTCATATTCATTTGTTTGAAAAGAACATTATCACTGTAATAACTCAAATACTAAAATCTTTGAAAGATTATCAAGTTTCTAGGACTCTTTGAATATTAAGAATTAACACTTGTAAGTCTTTATGAAGTGAGTCATCATAAAACCCTTTAGGGCACAATACCTTCAGGTACAAATTTTATATAAGGGACACTCGGGGAAAAAGAGAAGAGGCAACGATACTGCTTCTCTTCCTCCCACCCCCATTTGTTTCCTTCCTATGTAGCCAAGCGTGACTTTGAACTCCTAACCCCGATTCCATTTCCCTTGTACTAGGATTACAGAAGCTTGCCACCACACCCTTTCCTCCCTTTTAGTTTCAGGGATTTAAAAAATGATTTATATCTCAATATGTGTATCTGTGTGAGTGTATGCCACATGTGTGCAGGCACCTGAGGAACTCAGAAGAGAACATCAGATCCCCTGGAGCTGGAGTGACCAGCAGTTGTGGGCCACCCAATGTGGGTGCTGGGAACTGAACTCAGGTCCCTGGGAAGGGCATAAAGTGCTCTTAGCTGCTGAGCCATCTCTCTAGCCCCATTCAACAATTTTTTTCCAATCTTTTGCTCTACATGTGTATTGGAAATGGAACCAATTCTAACACTGTCTTTACCTTAACACTTTCTCCTAGATGCTTTCTACAAACAACATAAAACTACACCTGGTATTTTGGGAACAAATTCATCAACATACCAATATATGAGGCTGATAGCTAGGCATAATGGAATGCACCTGTAATCCTTGGGTGACTGAGCCAGGAGGGGTGGTATGTTTGGGACCACAGTTAAGACCTTGTCTCACAAAAAAAAAAAAAAAAAAAAGAAAGAAAGAAAAAGAAAAAGAAAGAAGAGAGAGAGAGACAGACAAAGAGAAAAGAAAGAAAACTAACAAGAGAGTTCTAGTTGAGTATAGAGGCAAGCTAGAGTCCCTATCAGAGTCTCCTCCATACAGGCTATTTTTTTTTAAAGATTTATTTATTTATTATGTATACAGCATGTATGACAGCAGTCCAGAAGAGGGCACCAGATCTCATTACAGATGGTTGTGAGCCACCATGTGGTTGCTGGGAATTGAACTCAGGACCTCTGGAAGAGCAGTCAGTGCTTTTAACCTCTGAGCCATCTCTCCAGCCCCCATACAGGCTATTTTTGCAGTCCCAATCTAGGCACAGCTTTAAGGATGGCCACTGTTAAGAATTGTGGCAAAGCAGTCTGTGGAGTCTGCAAGTCAGGTCCTTTCACATGCTCCAGCAAATCACAACTGGGTGGATGTTGGGATGGGCCAAGTCATATTTCTGGTTCTGGGGCAGAGCAGCTGAGGGTGGGTCCACTCTCCAGCACTGCCTCTAATTCACCTCTTGCAGCAATAAGGGAGGGGTGGAGCCAGTTCTTCTGCATTCACCTCAGGGTTGGCTCTCACACACCTACACTATTAGGGCCAGCTCTATTGTGTTGCCCAGGCAAGGTACAGGGGCAGCTCTTCCAAGCGCTGTAGTTGGTGAGGGGTAGGGACAGCCCTCCTGCTCTTATGACCACAGGGCCAGCTCTCCCACCTGCCTCAGGTATTGATGGGCGGTGCAGGGAGGGGCAACTCTCCCAACTCATGCTGCCACAACACAGATGAGTAATGGAGACAGTTCTCCCATGCTCACAGCTTCAGGGCTGGCTCACCCATACCTCCGTCAACAGGCACTATGACTTCAGCTTTAAAGGAACTGAAAAGAATTTTGAGAGTTGGACAGTAGTTGAGAGCACTGGCTGCTCTTCCAGAGGACCTGGATTGATTCCTAGCACCCACATGGTGGCTCACATCTTCTGTAATTCCAGTCCAAGGAGATCCAGTATATTTTGGCCTTTGCCAGCACCAGGCACGAATGCAGGCAAAACACCCAGACACATAAAAATAAAATTTAAATTTTTAATTAAAAATATGAAATAAGGCCAGGTGGTGGTGGCGCATGCCTTTAATCCCAGCACTCGGGAGGCAGAGGCAGAAGGAACTCTTTGAGTTTGAGGTCAGTCTGGGCTACAGAGTGACTTCCAGGCTCCAAAACTACAGAGAAACCCTGTCTCGGAAAAAAAAAAAATTTAAAGAATGAAATAAAGTCTAAAATTGTGTTCCACATGGTAAGATTCCTGGCTCATTATTGACTGGAAACTTACCACAAAGATAATATTTCATGTCGGGCAGTGGTAGCACATACCTTTAATCTCAGCACTGGGGAGGCAGAGGCAGGCAGATCTCGGAGAGTTTGAGGCCAGCCCGATCTACAGAGAGAGTTCCAGGGCACCCAAGGCTACCCAGAGAAACTGTCTTGAAAGCACTATCCCCCTCAAAAAAAAAAAAAAAGAAAAGAGAAAACAATATTTCGGTTTGGTATGATTTCCTGCTTTTGTGTTAGAGAGAGTATAGCTCTATGTAGCCCAGGTGAGCCTCAAATTTGCAATCCTCGTCTTGCCTCTGCCTCCCAAGTGCTGGATTACCACTGTACACCTCGGTGTTTGGTTTGAAAAACAGAATGCCTTTTGAAAGGAGAAGACTATAATTCAAACTGCTTATCACTCATCTTGAGTTGCTTAAACAAAGACCAGTCATTTGATCTCCTTGTGACAAACTCAAGGAGACACACATTATGAAAGAGTAATGTGGTGAGTGTGCATGGGAAATGCTTAGAAATGTCTCAGCACAAAGTGTTCCAAGTATGTTCATAAGTATTTCTATATGCAATTCTATACAGACTTTTAGTAAAGAATGTTTTTAAAATTAAGCTAGAGGGCTGGGAGATGGTCCAGCAGTTAAGAGCACTGACTGCTCTTGCAGAGGAGCCGGGTTCAATTCCCAGCACCCACACGGCATCTCACAAGGCTCTGTAACTCCAGTTCTAGGGGTCTGGAGACGGAGGCCCTATTCTGGCCTCCACACAACCTAGGCATGCATATAGTGTAGTTACATACATGTAGTAGGCAAAACACTTATATACATATAAATCTTTAAAGCCATTTCCTTCTAAGTAGCAAAACATAAAGTAAGCACTTTTTTTTTTTTTTTTTTTTTTTTGGTTTTTCGAGACAGGGTTTCTCTGTGTAGCTTTGCGCCTCTCCTGGAACTCACTTGGTAGCCCAGGCTGGCCTCGAACTCACAGAGATCCGCCTGGCTCGTAAGCACTTTCTTTCTTTTTTTTTTTTTTTTTTTTTTTTTTTTGGTTTTTCGAGACAGGGTTTCTCTGTGTAGCTTTGCGCCTTTCCTGGATCTCGCTCTGTAGACCAGGCTGGCCTCGAACTCACAGAGATCCGCCTGCCTCTGCCTCCCGAGTGCTGGGATTAAAGGCGTGCGCCGCCACCACCGCCCGGCCGTAAGCACTTTCTTTAACCAAGTGTTCCCACTTTTTAAAACTGACTCAAAAAATTAATAGATGTAAGGATATTCATTGTCTTAAACTTTCTCACCCCAAAATCAGAGAAAAAAATTACATTTCCATTAATAGATATTGGTTAGGTTAATTATAGGCTTGTATTCCCAGCTACTAAGGAGGCTGAGGCAGGAAGATTATAAATTTAAGGCCTGCCTGAGCTACAGAGCAAGATCAAGGCCAGGGTGGACAACTTAATGAGACTCTGTCTCAAAATCAATAAATTGTGATAGCTTACAATTGTAATCCTAACACTCAGGAGGCTAAGGTAGGAGAGTCAAGAGTTCCAGGTCAGCCTGGGCTACATAGATAGCAAGACCTTTTCTAAAATGAATGAATGAATGAATGAATGGATGGAAGAATGGATGGAAGAATGAATGAATGAAATAAAATTTTAAAAAGGACCCAAAGATATAGCTATTATAATTGTATGTATTCATTCAGTAATAGGAGCATTCTAATACTGTAACACACCCTATTTATAGACACTATTCCTTGAAAACTTACTATACTTATACAGAGAACAATAACTATATAAAGATAAAGAATTGTTACCAGGTCTTTTTGTCCATTGATACTTGCACAACCATGTATCGATAAATGTTAAGAATACGTTTACACATATCTGTGTGCTCATCCAAAAGATTTTTTATTTCATTTGCAGGTTCAAGAAGAAAGATGTTTGATGAGTTTATAATGAACACCTATAATAAGAGAAATCATTAATTATTCATAATAAAATTTCCATGGTAGTTTCTAATTTTGTTGTTTCTTTAGGACAAGATCTCATTTGGTAGCCCTGGCTGGTCTGAAACTCACTACGTAGACCAGGATAACCTGGAATCTATTGCAATCCAGCTGCTGTTGCCTCTGAGTGCCAAGATTATAGGCATGAGCTACCACACCTGGCTGAATGGTAAACTTCTTATTTAAAGAAAAAATTAGTCTGGCATGCTGGTTCATAACTGTAGTCCCAGAACTCAGAAAGCTGACAAAGAGGAGGGCTGCATGTATGAGGCCAGTCTGGGATAAAGAATAAGACTCTGTGTGTGTGTCTCTTGTCTCTCTGACTCTCTGTCTGTCTGTCTGTCTGTCTGTCTGTCTCTCTCTCTCTCTCTCTCTCTCTCTCTCTCTCACACACACACACACACACACACACGAGAGAGAGAGAGAGAGAGACAGAGACAGAGACAGAGACAGAGAGAAAGAGAGAGACAGAGAGAGACAGAGAGAGAGAGAGAAACAAGCACTAATCACTGGGTGATCTAGAATAAATTTAAAACCACCATGGATTACTAAATACTCCTATTTCTACTACTATTTTGGCATCTGATATTTAAGCTCATTAACACTCAAAGAAATGGATCCATACTAAAAACAGGATTTCTAAAGTGAGAAGTTTATAAGTATAGCCATGGACAACAGTAAGTAAAAAAGCTTAATAAAAAAGATAACAACTAAACCAGGAAATGTTTTCTGAGTTGTATAAACATAACTATTTTCTTGTTTATTTTTATGTGTACATCTGTTCTTGTAATAACAACCTTACATAACAGGCTGCATATTATAATTTATGAGATTCCATTACCATATATCCTAATTAAACTTATTACACATTCATTGTAAGCTGTGATCGCCTTCTGAACGCCGCTGTAAAGACAAACACAATGCAGCAGCTGTGTACAGGAGATCTCAAGAACAATCAGCTCTGCTTCACTTTTGTTGTGTTCTGTTTTACCTTTCAGACAGGATACTATATAGATCCGGCTGGCCTCAAACTTGCCATGTACCCAAGGTTAGTCTCAGACATACTGGAAGGCTGGAACACTGCATCTATGACGTTTTTATAACAGTGTTATAAAAACTATTTACTTTTTCTATGCACACCTCCTCTTTCCTAGAAGTACTATGCTACCACACGAAGTTGTACACTCATTTGAAAAAGAGCACACTTCTTTAAAGCACACTTTTAAGAGTGAAAAGAGCAGATTCTGTAAACCTAGCAGATGTGAACAAACAAAAGCAAGAGAAAGGACTAGGGAAGCATTAGGAATAAAATGAAAACAGAATGAAGTTCAGCAGAGGATTGCAGAAGGGTAATTCAGTGATTAACTATATGGCAATAACATTCAAATGAAATGGACTATTTTAGAAAAAAAACACAAGTAGCCAAAACGGACTTAAGAAGGAATTTTAAAGGACCCATATATAAACAGCATGAAAGAAAGAGCTGGTAAGGCAGGCTGGCTCATCCCTGACCAGCAAACAGGCCTGGACCACAAGCTCTGAGCATTCTTGTTCCACCTTCAGGGCAGATGATCTTTATCGTTGTTCAGAGGCAAAGAAAAAAGAAATCCACTCAATTTACTAAATAAAAATATAATGTTCTTAGTAAGAACTACATAGAAAAGCTAAATAAAAGGCTAATATTTCTTGTGAACATATAGATTAAAATCTTAACATAACAATCCAAACAAAACAAAATACATTATTTTATGATGAAGTAGAGTATAATCCAGACATATAAAGATGCCTTAATGTAGACAAATCTAGTATTATACCCTATATCAATGAGTTAAAATAGAAAATCAAAGTATGCTCATTTCAAAATACACAGGAAAAGAATTTAGCATTTAATTCATTACTTTAAAAAAGTTAACAAACACCCGGCAGTGGTAGCGCATGTTTTTAATCTCAGCACTCAGGAGGCAGAGGAAGATGGATCTCTGTATTAAAGGACAGCCAAGGCTGTTACACAGAAAACCCTGTCTCCAAAAAAAAAAAAAAAAAAAAAGGAAAAAAAAAGGTAACAAACCAAGAAAAGGCAGAAACTACTACAGTCTAAAAACAAGCGCTTACAAAAAGTTGAACAAATGTATCCACAGCAAGAACACTTGAGAAGCACCACCAACAGACAAGAGTAAATGACGTGTTCTTCCCTGAAAGAAGAGGCATGAATCTGAAAGAGCAAGGACCAGCATAAAGGGAGGAAAGGGAAATGGGGAATGGTGTAACTGCATTACAATCTCAAACAACAAAAGAAACGGTTTTAAAAGGACAAGGAAGAGACGAAGGGCCTCCCATCTCCTAAATGTCCCTGGAGTTCAGTAAGCACAGATGAAGGGAAGCGGGTGAGGAGAAATGCAAACACAAACTGGGGAGAAAACCCGAGAAAAGCATCCCAGACACAGGTAACAGCAAGCTCAAAGGTCAAGTGCGAGCTTGCCTTGCCTGTGTGAGGAGTAATAACTAGGACAGAATGAAGTGAGTCAGAGGGAGAGCAGTGGGAGATTTGTTTAAAAAAAAAAAAAAAAAGCCAGGGTATAAAGAACAGATTTCTTCCCCGTACTAACAGAGGGAGAACGGTCTCCTTTATCTTCTACAGATCAGTCCTGTCATAAAGCACAGGGGGAAAAAAAACCAGAAAAAAAGGATGAATGAATTTTATATATATAACAAGCCCAAACTTTTTTTTTAAAGATTTATTTATTATGTATACAGTGTTCTGCCTGCATGTGTCCCTGCAGACCAGAAGAGGGCACCATATCTCATTACAAGTGGTTGTGAGCCACCATGTGGTTGCTGGGAATTGAACTCAGGACCTTTGGAAGAGCAGTCGGTGCTCTTAACCACTGAGCCATCTCTCCAGCCCCGAGCCCAAACTTTTTAAGAGAATTGAGATGTTAAATGGTTGAACATGAAAACTCTCAGCCTCAATTCTTCCATTTCCCTGTGGGCCAGCACGTGGAGCACTCTGGAGAGTACTGGTGGACAGCCTTGGACACCCTAACAAAGACCTGACTTGCTGCTGCTGCGTATGGATAAGGGAAAGCCACGGGAAGGCGGTCCACAGGATCCCTCCGCTCAGCACTGGAAACACACTAGGGGGCAAGGGAAGAAACAGACTAGGAGGAGGAGGCGGAGACAGGTGACCTCTGGGAGTCTGAAGCCACTTGGTCTACATAGTGAGACTTTGCCTCAAAAAGATAAAAATGAAAAAGGCCTTTTGATTTTGGTTTCACCAAACAGAGGTTGGAAGAGGCTCTGACAAGAAGCAGGCAGTGGAGAGAGCACAGCTCTGGGACAGGATGCTCAAGCGGCATGGCCGGGGCCCTGGGCTGTGCCAAGCACCAGAACAAAGGCAAGACTGAAGGGGAAGGCAAAGGAGAAGGGAACACAAGACACCCCTGCACATCCTTTAAAGGGCAGACTTCCGACAGAGTGGTAGGAAAGCACAATGAAGCATGCAGCCATTCAGGTGAGATGTGCAGATGGAGCTCAGGAAGTGACTGGGAATTCCTGTTTCTGCACATCCGCCCAGCACGTGAATTATCACATTGTAATTTTTCAGTCTACAGAGGATGTGACATGTTCTGTTTTTAGAAACTGTGAGGCTGGTGACATGGTTTAGTTGGTAAGGCCCTTGCTGCCAAGCCTGATGACTCAAGTCTGCTCTCTAGGATCCACACGGTTAGGAGAGAATACATACACTGCCACAGTTGTCTTCTGACTGCCACATGGCAAGCACACACCTGCCCACCCCCCATACACACACTAAATACAAAATCAAAATTAATTATATTTCCTAATCAGTTTACTTTTCCTTTATTAGTCTTGAATTTGAACCTACTTTTTCATCTATGAACTATGTAATGTTTGTCAGTATGCATTTTATGAAAAACAAATATGGTATAATGACAACTCATAGATGTGAGTAGTGAATTATATATAAATATAATATGAATATATGAATTTATTATATTTGAAATCTCAAACTATAGGCATTTGAAATCTTTAATGATTGTTTTGGTTTTTTAAAAAAAAAAAAAACAAACAAAAAAAGCTAAAGGGCTAGATATGTAGCTCATTGGTAGAAAACTTGCCCAACATGCCACAAAGCCTTGGGTTTAATCCCAGGAACTATAAACACACACACATACACATACACACACACACACACACACACACACACACACACACACACACACACACACACACACACACACACAAATAAGTATAAAGCTACCCACCTGCAAAACTGCCTGTGTACCAGCTTGAATATTTTGTTCTGTGGCTTCTTCAGAGGCATGAAAAGCATCTTGATAGGAACCGTTTTTGGTCCAACTAGAATTTCGAACATGCTCAGAAACATTGGTCCCATTTTCCTGAAGCAAAATATCAAGCTTTTTAATATTTCATCAATGAGAATGCGGTTACAAGTCAGTAACATAAAAGGTGTATGAAATTATTAGGTCCCACTATTAAACTGTCTCTTTCCATAAATACATTGTTTTAGGGGCCTGGAGAGACAACTCAATGGTGAAGAGCACTTGCTGCTCTTCCAGAGGACCCGAGTTCAGTTCCCAGCACCACGTCAGCAAGCTTACAGCTGTCTGTATTCCAGCTCCACAGAACTCTGATGCCTCTGAGAGCAACTGCACTCATGTGCACATACTCACATGCAAACACACATACCTACACATAACTAAAAATAATAAAAATAAATAAAAAATAAAGATATTTTAACTGATTATACAAGTAATGTGTATTCACTGTAAAAAAAATTCTAACAAAGTAAAAAATTATGGATAATGAGTAACTAGAGTTAATATATCATATACGGAGTCATTTGTCTGTTTATATTCTCACATATTCGACAATCATATTACACTATTCACAGCTTTGTAAAAAATCAATTCTATTCTATATTAAATGCTAGAATCTACATAACTTGAAAATAGATTTTTAAGAGCAGTAAAACTGTAGTGAAAAACAAGCAACTACTGAAGCTGTCTGCCCAAGTTTTGGTGCTGTTAGGTAGTACAGGCTACAAGTTCCCTCGGTAAGAGCCTGTTTTGTTGTGTTGGAGGGTGTGTGTGTGTGTGTGTGTGTGTGTGTGTGTGTGTGTGTGTTGTATGCAAGTGTGTGCACAGGTGTGTACAGGTACTTATACCCATACCCATGCGTGCTTGTGTGGATACTCGATCCACTGAGTCATTCCCCCAGCCACTGCTGCTTTTGAACATTCATTAATAGTATCCTCCTTTTCTCCCTCCCTTCCTGACAGGGCCTCATTCTGTAGCCCAACCTGGCCTTGAACTATCAACAATCTCTCTGCTTCAGTCTCCCAAAGGCTAGAATTACAGACAGGAGCCATTGGATCCAACTCAGGGCCTTCCGTCTGCTACGCAAGCACTCTCCCACAGTGACATTCCCAACCCTTTGTCACCAATATTTTTCTAGAGCTGCCTTCTTATAGTTTGCGTAGAGTTATACCTACAACATACATGTAGTTTTGTCTAACACTCTGTCCTAAATAGAAACTAGGCCTAAGTAGAAACTCAGCTCTATGAGGAGGCAATACAACGCTCCATGCCAAGCCTTTCTCTTGGGCTCTGTACCTCTATGACAATATGTCTTCTAAAGTCTTCCTAAATGACCTGCAAGTATAAAGATAAGCCTCTTTTCCACAAACTTCCCATTTCTACCTATTGCAGCCACATTAGTCTCCACCAACAAATCTGCACTTTTCACTTTCCATCCTTCCATGATGGCAATCATTAAAGCCCACAGGTTTTACAAACAGAGAAACTAACATATGTATGTTCTCTCTTACAGTCATTTGCAACTTCCATGATACTATCTCAGGTACTCCCATCTCACTCTGGACTTTGCTAACACTTCCTAACTGGTCTGCTTGACCCAGACTGGCTTCCAGTCTACTCTCGACTTGGTCTTGTACAATCCTTCTAAAATATTTAACTATTCATGCTACTTTCAGAGGTTTTCCAATGTCTGGAAAGTAATCAAAGTGCACTAACAGTACCTAACGAAGTGTCACAAGTTACTGAACAGAGCCTAAGCCTTGCTTATGTCATACATCCTATCACTCTCTCCTAATGACTCTTATCTAAAGCTAGAGAAAAGTATTTTCAAAGTCCCTTACTCCTTTGTGGATGCTATTTATACTCTATGGTTCCTTTCCCATTGATCTACCTGCTTTTCATACTGTATTATCACCTCCGGGCAGATACTCTAGGATCACAGTAGTAATATGGTTTTATAATGCATACTTTGCTTTACAGGATATTCTGAACATTTTGGAGGTACTTTATTGGAAAATGCCACTGGGAGTTACTGAACTAGGAAATACCTAATGTCCTACAAGGTGCACAAAAGTACTGAAAACTCACAGAAAAATAGCCTAGTGTCTTCCAAACATGTTAAATGCTATGTGAATAAAAACCCATTGAGCAATTGTAATATATATTGAACTTATCAGATGTCAATCAATGAGTGACTATATCATTTGGGTTAATATCCTTACAAGAGCTACTGGCACTTTGAAAATTCACACTGCTAATGGCAATAATTATATGAACAACCAACAGAAGATATGCCTATCAATACATCTATATTATCAACTCATCTTCCCTCAACCCACTGATTACTTCTATTTGTTTTTTATTTTATTTTTTGGTGCGGTTTGTTTTTGGTTTGTTTGTGTGCTTGCTTGTTTTTGTTGTTGCTGAGATGGGGTCTCACTATGTAGCTCTTGGCTGTCCTGGAACTATGTAGATCAGACTGGTCTCAAACTCACAGAGATTCATCTGCCTCTGTCCCCTAAGACAGAGGAATGGAATGGAATTAAAAGCATGCACCACCATGTCTGGCCCCTGTTTGTAGTTCTGTATATAGTTTATTCTATTATTCTCACATAAATGATGCAGGGTAGGTTCAGTGTACACAGAGTATAACTAAAAGGGTTGTGAAAAATACATCATTTAGACTGATAGGTGTATTTTCTACCATAACTGAAATATTTGATATTTCTTACTAAGACCTAATAGTACTATGAATTCTCTTTCACAAATTATATGATTAATTTTATATACTTTGTTGGGCATGGTAGTATATATTTGTAATCCCAGTACTTGGGAAGTGGAGACAAGATGATCAAGAATTTAAAATCATCCTAGGTTATATAGTGAGACTGATGCCAGTCTGGAATACATGACACCCCGTCTCCAAAAAAAAAAAAAAAAAAAAAAAAAAAAAAAAAAAAAAAAAATCCTCCTCAAAACCCCAAATCAAAAAACAATTCATATAATACAATTGCATTTGTCATTTTTTCTTTTATTTACTTTTTGGGGGCAGTTGGAAATTGAACCAAAGGCCTCATACATGCTAGTCTGCTTCTACCATTGTCTCAGTAATACTACTTAAACATATCCTCATCTTATACAGAGCATCATTCAAAACACTAAGAAAGATTGGCAGTTTGAGGTCAGTCTAGGCTCTCTAGGCAGACTCTGCATTCCCCACCCACAATCCCTTGTGGTTGATATATTGTATACCCCAATAAACTTATCTGGGGGTCAGAGAACAGAACAACCACTATATTAAACATAGAGGTTAGGGAGTGGTAGCACAAGCCTTTAATCCTAGCATTCTGGAGGCAGAGATCCATCCAGATCTCTGTGAGTTCAAGGCCACATTGGAAAAAGCCAGGCATGGTGACACACACCTTTAATCCCAGCACTTGAGATCTCATGTCTTGCTTGGGAAAGACACACGCTTTTAATCCCAGGAAGTGATGACAGGAAGCAGAAAGATATATAAGGCTTGAGGACCAGGAACTAGGGCCTTTTAAGCTTTTAGGCTTTTGAGCAGCAGTTCAACTGAGACCCATTCGGGTGAGGACTCAGAGGCTTTCAGTCTGAGGAAACAAGATCAGCTGAGAAGCTGGCAAGGTGAGGTTGGATGTGGCTTGTTCTGTTTCTCTGATCTTCCAGCATTCACCCCAATACCTGGCGCCAGGTTTGTTTTTATTAACAAGACCTTTTAAGATTCATGTTACAATCCCTTGCTCAATTAATCCATGTAGAACCGCTCTATTCATTCATGTGTCTTTATCCTGATTAAACTCCATTGGTGAAGTTAAATTAACAGCTAAAAAAGAAACATCACTCAACTGCTCCTCTCCTAATTCAAAAGACTTTGTACTATAGAAAGGTAAATCGATAAAAACAGACAGTCTTTTGTTTTGTTTTTCAAGACAAGGTGTGGTAGAGTATTTTAAGGTGTGTTACTTTTGTTTCTGTTGCATTTGTTTAACTCTGCGAAGCTGTGCTACTGTGCATGTCTAAAACACCTGATGGTCTAATAAAGAACTGAATGGCCAATGGCAAGGCAGGAGAAAGGACAGGCAGGGTTGGCAGGCAGAGAGAATATATAGAAGGAGAAATCTGGAGGAAGGAAGGAGAAAGAGTAGACAGAGAAGGAGGAGGACATCAGGGGCCAGCCACCCAGCTACATAGCAAGCCACAGAGTAAGAAATAACGAAAGATATACAGAAATGGAGAAAGGTAAAAGCCCAAAGTCAAAAGCTACATGGGATAATTTAAGTAAAGCTGGTTAGTAACAAGCCAAGCTAAGGCCAGACACTCATAATTAAGACTAAGCCTCCGTGTGTGATTTATTTGGAAGTTGGGTGGCGGGCCCCTAAAAGAGTAAAAACCCCCAACAACAACAGGGTTTCTCTGTGTAGCTCTAGTTGTCCTGGAACTTGCTTCATAGATCAGACTGGCCTTGAACTCACAGAGATCCATCTGCTTCTGCCTCCAGAGGGCTGGGATTAAAAGCATGCACCACTTCTGCCTGGCCTGATAGTCTTTTATACTCCTAAATTTCATCTCAGTCTAGTTCCTTGAGAGTCGGCTACATGACAAGGGTTGAACAACCCAAAGATGAAAATTTGCTTAGGTCTAAGGAATGAATGGACTCTGACCCAGCACTACCTCTGCTCCCTGTTCTTTCTGCTCTGTGAATAAATTCTAGGCTTTCTTATCACCAGCAATATATTTTATCATGTCAGGAAACCTCTGAATTCTGCAGTTAGCTCTAGTGCATAGGAGTCTAGAGAATTCAAAACATTTTGGTTTGTGGTGGGTAGCCATTCAGAGCATTAGCAGACAATATTTTGAGAAAAGGAACAATAATTTGATAACCATCACAAAGGTATGTCCTCTAACATCAGGTTTGATTTGGTACAAGTTTAAAATATGACGGTGTCCACCTCTGATATGCACCCCAACCCTTTCTTAACCATAGGCTGCATAAATGGATGTGGGATAAGTGAACAATTTACAATAGTGAACAGTTTCTGAATGTACACCAGAAAATTAAAATCAAATACATAATGAATCCAAGCTGTTCCAGGCACACTGGCCTGTGCTACATTTCATGGCTGGACTACAGTCCTGGCTCTGAACATACAGTACACACAATCTGTACTGAGCATGTCTTCCCACCACAGAACACCCATGAATGCCACTCAGATTCAGGACTACGCTGTGTTATGAATTGCAGTGTTTTCACTATGCACACAAAGTTTCCTGCTTTTGGAAAATATAATGGCGTAACTATGGAACAAAGACAATATAAAAACTTAATAGTTTCATATTGTCATTCCTCAGCATGGAAGTACCAAATTAGTATTTCTTTGGTTTGGACTATGTCAGAATGTTTAATTTTTTTTAAATTGATGTTAAGCTGCTGACTTGAATAGCAATTATAAAAAATGAATTTTAGCTTGACATTAAGACAGAATTTCCAACAATTTCTAAAATGGTCTTAGAGATACTTCCAACATTTTGCACTACATATTTATACAAAGTGGAATAATTAGCACTGATGACTATAAAATAAAAATGTCAATTAACTATTAAAAATGCTGAACATGCTCATGTCCTCCAGTATCAAATACTCAGACAAGTCTATTTCTTTTCATATCCATTTCATTAGTATAGAAATTTGCTTTTGTCTTTAATAAATGGTAAAATTTTATTTATTTATATATACATACATATATAAAACTTTGAAAATAAATTTATGATTTATTCTTAATGAATGATTCAGATGTCTTTTTTTTTTTTGAGACTATGTAGCATTGGCTGGCCTGGAACTTGCTATGTACTGGCTCAAATTCACAGAGATCTGCCTGCCTCTGCCTTCTGAGTGCTGGGATTACAGGTGTGTGCCACCTTACTTATCCCAGATACCTTTGTTATATACTAATATACACTAGGTTGTATAAAAATTTATTGGGTAAAAAAGTTGGCAGTGGAAAGAGTTTACAAAGCCCTGATCTACACAACATAACCTCAACATCATTTATTTATTTTTGCTTTTAGATTGTGACATCAAAATAAAAATAAAATACATCACAGAACTTTGCAAAAGAGTACTGAAGTAAATACTGTGATATAAAATGCAAAATATACTGAAAGATACTTTATCTTTTATTTATATCAGCACACTATTATACTTTTGAAAAACTCTAATCTATTGAACTTACATTAAAACATATATATCTTATAATTTTACCTCTTCTCTTTTTTCTCCATCTTCTATGGAAATATCATGGTCTGTGACGTTTTCAAGGCAAGGTATATCTGAAGAAATGAGCGGACCTTCTTCAGGCTCTTGCATAAACAAAGGCTTTTCCTCTTGTTGAATCCATTCTTGATACACTTTTACCACTTTTCTCATAGCTGCTGCTTCACAAATTGGTAATAAAAATGCCTAGTAAGTAGGAAAAAAAAGAAAAACAATGTTACTTTTTATTTTGCCACAACATTAATGTATTTCTCATCTCACATAATAGGGATATAAACAATTTCACAAACTTAATTCATTAACTATTAATCAACCCCCCAAAAGCCTTTTATCTCCAAATATTTTGTAAATACCTTGAAAAAGAATATAGTAGATAGCTATTCAAGCAGAAGGAACAAAGATTTGTTTCAGTTGCATTACTTCTAAATGGCAGCATTCTTTGTTTCATGAAACTTTACTCTTGCAAAGTTCAATATAAATATAACTTCTCATAAGCCACATTTTATAACTTACATTTACTGCTGTATTAAGAATTATTACTATTAAAATGCTTCCATAAAAAGATTTACTACAGATGAAGAATATAGATGTTTGAATAAAATAAGAATAATGATGTGAGATATGAAAGGAGAATTGAACAAAATGTTACTGAAGAAAAATCAGTATGAAATGCTGGAAATGAAAAAACAGTAAGTCATATTAAAAGTTCTGTGCAAAGTTTCACCAACAGAATAGATGAAGGAGAGAAAAAAATATCTGAACTGGAAGCAAGATGAAGGAACTGGAACAACCCAGTAAGAGCAAAATGAAGGACATAAAAACGCACAAGTGGGAATTCCAAGACTCATGTGACATGAAAAGACAAAGTCTAAAGGTCATGGGCATAGGAGAAAAATTTCATTTTAAAGACACACAAAACATTTCAAAAGAATCATAACAGAAAATTTCCTAGAGTTAGGAAAGAGATGCCCATCCACATAAAGGAGGCATTCAGGACACCAAACAATAAAGCCAGAAAGAACTTCCTCTTGAATCCTAATTAAAATACTAAATATACAGAACAAAGAAAGCATATTGAAAGTGGCAGAGAAAAACATCAAGTTACACATAAAGGCAAATTTGTCAACTGAAACTTTAAAAGTAGAAGGTCCTAGAAAGATGCATTTCAAGTTTTAAAAGCCAACTGCTAACTCACAAATGCTGCCAGACCAAGCAGAGCTATCTGTCACATTAGAAAGAGAAGTCAAAACTTTCTATGATAAAAACAGGCTAACAGAATTTATAACCATTAAGGCATCTCTATGGAAGCTACTTTAAAGGAATGTTCCAGACTAAAAAGAAAAAACAGACAACTTATCCACAGGAAACAAAGTCACACCAGAATAATAGTTAATCAGGAAAGGAAAAAAAAAAAAAACACTACAAAAATCAACAAAATGACAGGAATCAGTACACAGCTTTCAATAAGAGCTCTGGATATTAATGGTCTCAATTTCCCAAACCAAGATACAGACAAGTAGACTGGATCAAAAATCAGGAACCATTTTTTTGTTCCCGCTGTTTCACCACACAAAAAAAAAAAAGTCACTATTTATTTAATAGATATAAGGATATATAAAGGGTATTCCAAGCAAACAGACCTAGGAAACAAGCAGATATCATTATTGTAACATCTGACAAAGTAGACTTCACTACAAAACTAATGAGAAAAGATAAAGAAGTCACTTCATGTGGCTAAACAAACCATCAAGAAAATAGAATTCTTAACATATATGCCCCATATATGCACAAGCACACCCATTTCATATGACAAATACTACTAGATGTAAAGTCACACATTAACCCCAGCACTGCAGTAGTGGGTGACTTCAATATCCTACTCTCAACTATTGACAGAAAACAATCAGAAACATTTGCATTAAATGACATCATCTATCAAATGGACTTAACAGACACCTTCAGACTATTCTATCCAAAAACATATTCCATGCAAAACATAAACTTTTCTCAGCAGCCCTTGGAATGTTCTCCAAAAAAGATCATACATTAGGATACAAAGCAAGTCTCAACAAACACAGGCAAACTGAACTATTTTCTGGTATCCTATCTGATCACAATGAAGTGAAACTATAAATCAACAGTAAGAACAACCCTAGAACATATACACATGGAGATTAAACAGCATTCTATTAAATGATAAATGAGTATTTGAAGAAATTAAGAAATTTCCAGAATTGGCTGGGCAGTGGTGGCTCACGCCTTTAATCCCAGCACTTGGGAGGCAGAGCCAGGTGGATCTCTGTGAGTTCGAGGCCAGCCTGGGCTACAGAGTAAGTTCCAGGAAAGGCACAAAGCTACACAGAGAAACCCTGCTCAAAAACCGGGAAAAAAAAAAAAAGAAATTTCCAGAATTGAATGAAAACAAAATCACAATAAAGACCTACTGAGACACAATAAAAGCAGTCCTAAAGGAAAGTTTAGAGCTCTAATTTCCTACATAAAATAGTCAGAACAATCTTAAGTAAATAACTTAGGCTTCTGGGTAAAGAACAAACCAAATCCCAAGCCACTAGAGAAAAGGAGTCGCTAAGACCACAGCAGAAATTCACACAATAAAATAATACCAACAGTGAGACAAGGGGTTGCTTCTTTGAAAAGATAAACAAAATTGGCAAACCTTTAGCTAGACTAAAAGAAAAAGAAGATCCAAATTAATAACATTACAGATGAAAAGGGAGCGATTACAACAGATATCACTGAGATTAAAAAATAATTAGGTCTCACCTTACAAACTTATTCTAAGTTAGAAAAGCTAAAAGAAATGGATGAATTTCTAAATGCTTATAATCTACCAAAAATAAACCAAGATGTGATAAACAATTAAACAGATTTAAACAGTTAGATTAAAACTAGAAAGACATAAAAAATAAAATTACAGACCAATCTCTCTTATAAATATATGCAGAAAATTTCAAGAAAAATCTTAAAAAACCAAATTAAATAATATTAACAGAAAGATCATTAATCATGATCAAGATGGTTTTAGTCTTAGATATGTTACATATCTAAGTCAATAAATGCTATAAATTTCATAAATGAACTCAAGGATAGAAATCACATGATCATTTAACACTTTGGACAAAATTCAATACCCATTCATGATAAAAATGCAGAATAAACTAGGAATGGAATATTTCTCAACATAATAAAGGTGACATATGACAAATCTATAGTCAACAAAATGCTAAATGGTGGAAAACTTAGCAACATTTCCACCAAGACAAGAGATAAGAATGTTTGCTGCTCTCTCCACTCCTATTCAATATGGTGTTTGTAGACTTACAAGACTTATAAGAGAAAAGGAAGCAAAATGGATTCATGTTGTAGAATAATCCTTCTGTATACTATGTGAATATATGTTGCTCTGATTAGTTTAGTAAACAACCTGACTGGCCAATAGCTGAACAGGACAAAGTTAGGCAGGAAAGCCAAATTGAGAATGATGGGATGAGGAAGGACAAGGTCAAAGGAGTCACTAGAAGATGCGGAGAGAACAAGATGGGCATGCCATACTAAGAGAAAGTACCAAGCCATGTAGCAAAGCATAGATAAGAAATATGGGTTAATTTAAATATAAGAGTTAGCTTGTAACAAGCCTGAGCTATTGGCTGATCATTTACAATTAATATTCATTTACAATTATTATTAAGTCTCTGTGTTGGTTATTTGGGAAGCAGCTTGTGGACAGAAACTTCCCCTTACAGATACAAATAGGAAAGGATTAAGTCAGTGTACCCTTATTTACACTTGACATGATTCTATATGTAGGTAACACTGTCCCAGACCTTAGTACAACTGACTCCATGATGAAAGTAAAACCATAAAAGTCATCACATAGACAAGACCACCTGCCAAAACTAAAACAAATACCCAATCCATTAAAGTCCATAGTTCTAGGAAAGTCTCTAAATATACTAACCATGCTTTTTTGCTTCTGTAGTTCCATTTCTGGCTAACTGTTCTCATTAACTGAAGTATGTCAACCCAGAACATGTTTTTTGTGCTTAAAAGCTCACCTTGAGAAAGGCTCAGGGCTATACAGTTTTCCGAACACACAATATAGTCACATGGCTGGCTAATAAAGACCTTCTATTGGCTTAAACCCATGTCCAAGCAGTCTTCTCTGGTGGCTACCCTACAACATTATACATGAGACTAAAGAATCCACCAGAAAATTCCTAGAGCTGATGAACATTTTCAGTAACATGCAAGGACTCAAATTTAACACACAAAAATCAGTAGCCTTCCTATTACCAATGATAAACACACTGAGAATGAATCAGAGAAACAACCCCATTCACAACAGCCTCAATACACACACACACACACACACACACACACACACACACACACACACACACACACACACACACGAATATATCTAACCAAGAAGGTCTTTTCTTTTTATAATTGATTTATTACATTTTTAGTATGTGTGCACCATGGTGTATATGTGGAGGTCAAAAGATAACTTTTGGGAATCAGTGCTCTATTTCGACTATGTGGGTTCCCAGGAAACAAACTCAAGTCATCAGGCTTGGTGGCAAAAGCCTTAAGCCACTAATACATCTCAACAGAACATGAAACTTTTTCATTAAAACACTGAAGAAAGAATTTGAGGAAGACACTAAGATGGCAAGGTCTTCCATGCTCATAAGTTAGAAGAATTATATTGTGAAAATGATAACCCTACCAAAAGCAATCAATAAATTTATATATCCCCATGAAAATTCTAACATCATCCTTCACAGAAATTGATAACTACTTTAAAATTCATATGGAAGCACTAAAGATCCCAGATAGCTTAACTGAGCTAAAAGAATAATGTTGAAGATATCATTATGCCTGACTTCAAATTGCTAAAATATACTATATAGTAATAAAAAGAGTATGGTACTGATGGAAAAACAGATAAGTAGATACAATGGAATAAAATAGAGGACTCAAATATTAGCTCACACAGCTCCCATCACATGGTTTTTCATGAAGATGTCAAAAACAAACACTAGAGAAAGGACAACTTTCTTCTACGAACAGTGTTAGGATGGCCACATATGAATGAAAGCAGAACTTTATCTCCCATCCTGCACAAAAATCAACTCCCGATGGATCCTCATAAAATTAAA